TATTTATTTCAGCTTTTATTTATTTCATCACATTCCCAGTGGGTCAGATGTTTACATACACTCAATTGGTATTTGGTAGCATTGCCTTTAAATTGTTTAACTTGGGTCAAACGTTTCGGGTAGCCTTCCACAAGCTTCCCACAATAAGTTGGGTGAATTTTGGCCCATTCCTCCTGACAGAGCTGATGTCACTGAGTCAGGTTTGTAGGCCTCCTTGCTCGCACACGCTTTTTCAGTTCTGCCCACAAATGTTCTATAGGATTGAGGTCAGGGCTTTGTGATGGCCACTCCAATACCTTGACTTTGTTGTCCTTAAGCCATTTTGCCACAACTTTGGAAGTAAGCTTGGGGTCAATGTCCATTTGGAAGACCCATTTGCGACCAAGCTTTGACTTCCTGACTGATGTCTTGAGATGTTGCTTCAATATATCCACCTAATTTTCCTTCCTCATGATGCCATCTATCTTGTGAAGTGCACCAGTCCCTCCTGCAGCAAAGCACCCCCACAGCGTGATGCTGCCATCCCCGTGCTTCACGGTTTGGATGGTGTTCTTCGGCTTGCAAGCGACCCCCTTTTTCCTCCAAACATAACGATGGTCATTATGGCCAAACAGTTCTATTTTTGTTTCATCAGACCAGAGGACATTTCTCCAAAAAGTACGATCTTTGTCCCCATGTACAGTTGCAAACCGTAGTCTGGCTTTTTTATGGCGGTTTTGGAGCAGTGGCTTCTTCCTTGCTGAGCGACCTTTCAGGTTATGTCAATATAGGACTAATTTGACTGTGGATATAGATAATTTTGTACCTGTTTCCTCCAGCATCTTCACAAGGTCCTTTGCTGTTGTTCTGGGATTGATTTGCACTTTTCGCACCAAAGTACGTTAATCTCTAGGAGACAGAACGCGTCTCCTTCCTGAGCGGTATGGCGGCTGCGTGGTCCCATGGTGTTTATACTTGCATACTATTGTTTCTACAGATGAACGTGGTACCTTCAGGCGTTTGGAAATTGCTCCCAAGGATGAACCAGACTTGTGGAGGTCTACATTTTTTTTTCAGAGGTCTTGGCTGATTTCTTTTGATTTTCCGATAATGTCAAGGAAAGAGGCACTGAGTTTGAAGGTAGGCCTTGAAATACATCCACAGGGACACCGCCAATTGACTCAAATGATGTCAATTAGCCTATCAGAAGCTTCTAAAGCCATGACATTGTTTTCTGGAATTTTCCAAGCTGTTTAAAGGCACAGTCAACTTAGTGAATGTAAACTTCTGACCCACTGGAATTGTGATACAGTGAATTATAAGTGAAATGATCTGTCTGTAAACAATTGTTGGAAAAATTACTTGTGTCATGCACAAAGTAGATGTCCTAACCGACTTGCCAAAACTATAGTTTGTTAACAAGACATTTGTGGAATGGTTGAAAAACTAGTTTTAATGACTCCAACCTAAGTGTATGTAAACTTCCGACTTCAGCCGTATATACAGTGGGGGAAAAAAAGTATTTAGTCAGCCACCAATTGTGCAAGTTCTCCCACTTAAAAGATGAGAGAGGCCTGTAAGTTTCATCATAGGTACACGTCAACTATGACAGACAAAATGAGTGTGAAAACCTTGTGAAGACTTACAGAAAACGTTTGACCTGTGTCATTGCCAACAAAGGGTATACAGGTAAAAGTCAGTAAATTAGAATATTTTGAAAAACTTGATTTATTTCAGTAATTGCATTCAAAAGGTGTAACTTGTACATTATATTTATTCATTGCACACAGACTGATGCATTCAAATGTTTATTTCATTTAATTTTGATGATTTGAAGTGGCAACAAATGAAAATCCAAAATTCCGTGTGTCACAAAATTAGAATATTGTGTAAGGGTTACATTTTGAAGACACCTGGTGCCACAAAATAATCAGCTGATTAACTCAAAACACCTGCAAAGGGCTTTAAATGGTCTCTCAGTCCAGTTCTGAAGCCTACACAAACATGGGGAAGACTTCAGATTTGACAGCTGTCCAAAAGGCGACCATCGACACATTGCACAAGGAGGGAAAGACACAAAAGGTTATTGCAGAAGAGGCTGGCTGTTCTCAGAGCTCTGTGTCCAAACACATTAATAGAGAGGCAAAGGGAAGGAAAAACTGTGGTCAGAAAAAGTGTACAAGCGATAGGGATCACCGCGCCCTAGTCAAGATTGTGAAAAAAAAACCATTCAAAAATGTGGGGGAGATTCACAAGGAGTGGACAGCTGCTGGAGTCAGGGCTTCAAGATCCACCACCAAGAGACGCTTGAAAGACATGGGTTTCAACTGCCGCATACCTCGTGTCAAGCCACTGTTGACCAAGAAACAGCGCGAAAAGCGTCTCACCTGGGCTAAGGAAAAAAAGAGCTGGACTGCTGCTGAGTGGTCTAAAGTCATGTTTTCTGACGAAAGCAAATTTTGCATTTCCTTTGGAAATCGAGGTCCCAGAGTCTGGAGGAAGACAGGAGAGGCACAGGATCCACGTTGCCTGAAGTCTAGTGTAAAGTTTCCACCATCAGTGATGGTTTGGGGTGCCATGTCATCTGCTGGTGTCGGTCCACTCTGTTTCCTGAGATCAAGGGTCAACGCAGCCGTCTACCAGCAAGTTTTAGAGCACTTCATGCTTCCTGCTGCTGACCTGCTCTATGGAGATGGAGATTTCAGGTTCCAACAGGACTTGGCGCCTGCACACAGCGCAAAATCTACCCGTGCCTGGTTTACGGACCATGGTATTTCTGTTCTAAATTGGCCAGCCAACTCCCCTGACCTTAGCCCCATAGAAAATCTGTGGGGTATTGTGAAAAGGAAGATGCAGAATGCCAGACCCAACAACGCAGAAGAGTTGAAGGCCACTATCAGAGCAACCTGGGCTCTCATAACACCTGAGCAGTGCCAGAAACTCATCGACTCCATGCCACGCCGCATTAATGCAGTAATTGAGGCAAAAGGAGCTCCAACCAAGTATTGAGTATTGTACATGCTCATATTTTTCATTTTCATACTTTTCAGTTGGCCAACATTTCTAAAAAATACCTTTTTTGTATTAGCCTTAAGTAATATTCTAATTTTGTGACACACGGAATTTTGGATTTTCATTTGTTGCCACTTCAAATCATCAAAATTACATGAAATAAACATTTGAATGCATCAGTCTGTGTGCAATGAATAAATATAATGTACAAGTTACACCTTTTGAATGCAATTACTGAAATAAATCAAGTTTTTCAAAATATTCTAATTTACTGACTTTTACCTGTATAACAAAGTATTGAGAAACTTATGATATTGACCAAATACTTATTTTCCACCATAATTTGCAAATAAATTCATTAAAAATCCTACAATGTGATTTTCTGGATTTTTTTTGCCTCAATTTGTCTGTCATAGTTGACGTGTACCTATGATGAAAATTACAGGCCTCTCATCTTTTTAAGTGGGAGAACTTGCACAATTAGTGGCTGACTAAATACTTTTTTTCCCCCACTGTAATATATGCCATTTAGCAGACTATTTTATCCATGATCAATCCGACGTCTGCATTTGCCGTGCAGCATTTACGGTGAAATGGCCTCTGCAGAAGTCAGGGCATAAATACTTATTACGTTTCGTGGAGCAGCGCTATTGAGAAGGAAGTGAGTGTTAATACAGGACCTCCTGCCCCCACCTACTGTCAACGCAGAACTATACGGAGCCCACCACATTGTTACAAACTTTGGGAGGTACACAGCAATGCTGAGCTCAATTTGACCTCTGCATGCCTCCAGAGGCTCCGCCATTATGTCACACCCTCCATACGGAGCCTCCGACCACATTTTCAGATCAAGCATAAATTGGCTTCAACAGTCATGCATGTGTATACATTTTACATATGGGTGGCCACAGGAATTGAACACACAACCCTGGTAGTGAACACACCATGCTCTACCAACTGAGCCATGCAGGACCACATTTCTTAACAACACCTGAACAGTCTGTCAGTCACAATGGCTGCCTGCCTTTCTTTACTGACTCCGGTATCAGAGTCATTCTCATGTCCCACTTTAATGAGCCCTAAAGCACAGGAAGAAACACACTCTGTGGGTGTGTCCCAAATGGCACCCTATTCCCTATATAGTGCACTACTTTTGACCAGGGCCCATAGGGGCTTTGGTCAAACGTAGTGCACTATATAGGAAATAGGTTTCCATTTGTGACGTAGCATGTGTCTTTACAACCCATAGGGACATGGCATGGCCAGCAGCATACCACCCTGCATCCCATTGCTTGCTTGGCTCTGAAGCTAAGCAGGGTAGGTCCTGGTCAGTCCCTGGATGGGTAGACCAGATGCTGTTGGATGTGGTGTTGGAGGGCCAGTAGGAGTCACTCTTTCCTCTGGTCTAAAAAAATAAATATCCCAGGGCCGTGATAGGGGACTTTGCCCTGTGTACGGTTCTGTCAGATGGGATGTTAAACAGGTGTCCTTACTCTATGTTGTCACTAAAGATCCCATGGCAGTTAACGTAGAGGTGTTAACCCCAGTGTCCTGGCTAAATTCCTGATCTGGCTTTCATACCATCATGGCCACCTAATCATCCCCAGCTTCCAATAATCTCCTTTTCACTGTAACTACTCCCCAGGTTGTTGCTGAGAATGTGTTCTCAGTCAACTTAATGTTTAAATAAAACAAATGGGGAATTGGTCTCACATGGCTGGTTGCTCCATTCTGTTTTCATTATTATGACTTCTCTGGGCGTTTCTGGTAGCCTACCTCCTTCCTACACCCTTGTGGGGTGTTCCGTTTGACCAAGACAAAATAACTGTTAGAGGACATCTTTGAGGTGGAGATGATTTCATTGTTTGTGCTGTAGTTGGGCTAATTCGCTCTCAAGTCTCTGACACATTGAAACCTCTTTCAGATACATTGAACTAGATACTGTAACCTCTGCATTGAAGAGTGTAAATAACATGGGTGCGTCCCAATAATATCTCATTGCTCCTGAAATGTACACTCGTTCACTACTTCCCACCAATCGAAAAAGCATTCGATTGGTGGAGGCATGTGATAGTGGGAGTTTCCACCATATTTCTTATACCAGTCATTTCCTTTCAGTGAAGGGACGTGAACAAGTGCACACTTGGGAGGAAGGAGAGATAATTGGGAGGTAGCCATGATGGTAACATTTTGTGAATCTGATACCATGTTAGACCTGTTTATCTGATGGGCTCTCAGATTTTGTTTCTCCCCTCTTCCTCTCTCCTCAGGAATACATGGAAGACCAGAAATACCGGGATGAGGAGGACCTCCCAGAAAAACTAGATTCCTTTAAAAGTAAGTCATTCTGCCAGGAAAGACCTACCCGGCCTGGAATATCTGATGTATCACTGTCCCAATTTAGGTCTGAATCACAGAGGGGTGTGAGTAAGTTGTGTCTGTGGGTTGCCTGTGGGAGTGTGTACCATATGTCAATGTGTTTATGTGCTGCCATCTCATTACTGTGTAAGTGTGGTTACGTGTGGGATTGCATGGTGTTTCATTCCATATCTACTTGAAAATGCAAACTAACCACATGATAATGTAGTCGGTTATTGTTCATCTTTTAATTTTGTGTCTGTTTTTTAGTGTGCGTCTGTCTGTTCTGTCCTGATTTCTAAGTGCGTTGTGAGGCCAGGTGGGTCCACAGCGGTCCAGACAGCAGGAATGTGGCTGCTCCTCCTCTCCTCTGGCTATTGTTGTAATTCTAGGGCTCTGGGGGAACATGTGGTTTTAGAGATTATATTAACATCTGAAACCAGGACCAGATGAACTACTACAGGGCTCTACAGGACCAGATGAACTACTACATTTTTCAATTTAGGCACACATGTGCTCCTTGTACAAAAGGTCAGCGTAGAGCCCTGTACCATATCACAGCATTGAGACTGAGGCTTACCTCAGACTCCCCCAGATTCCTGCCATATTACTGTCTACAATAAGTGTGTGTGTGTTCAGGGTTCTCCCCGAATAATTTTAAAGGGGTGCTGCACAACCTTGTGAACTGGCTGCACCACAAAACAAAAATGTGTGTGTGTGTGTGTGTGTGTATATATATATATATATATATATATATATATATATATATATATATATATATATATATATATACAGTGGGGAGAACAAGTATTTGATACACTGCCGATTTTGCAGGTTTTCCTACTTACAAAGCATGTAGAGGTCTGTAATTTTTATCATAGGTACACTTCAACTGTGAGAGATGGAATCTAAAATAGAAATCCAGAAAATCGCATTGTATGATTTTAAAGTAATTAATCTGCATTTTATTGCATGACATAAGTATTTGATCACCTACCAACCAGTAAGAATTCCGGCTTTCACAGACCTGTTAGTTTTTCTATAAGAAGCCCTCCTGTTCTCCACTCATTACCTGTATTAACTGCACCTGTTTTGAACTCTTTACCTTTATAAAAGACACCTGTCCACACACTCAATCAAACAGAATCCAACCTCTCCACAATGGCCAAGACCAGAGAGCTGTGTAAGGACATCAGGGATAAAATTGTAGACCTGCACAAGGCTGGGATGGGCTACAGGACAATAGGCAAGCAGCTTGGTGAGAAGGCAACAACTGTTGGCGCAATTATTAGAACATGGAAGAAGTTCAAGATGACGGTCAATCACCCTCGGTCTGGGGCTCCATGCAAGATCTCACCTCGTGGGGCATCAATGATCATGAGGAAGGTGAGGGATCAGCCCAGAACTACACGGCAGGACCTGGTCAATGACCTGAAGAGAGCTGGGACCACAGTCTCAAAGAAAACCATTAGTAACACACTACGCCGTCATGGATTAAAATCCTGCAGCGCACGCAAGGTCCCCCTGCTCAAGCCAGCGCATGTCCAGGCCCGTCTGAAGTTTGCCAGTGACCATCTGGATGATCCAGAGGAGGAATGGGAGAAGGTCATGTGGTCTGATGAGACAAAAATATAGCTTTTTGGTCTAAACTCCACTCACCGTGTTTGGAGGAAGAAGAAGGATGAGTACAACCCCAAGAACACCATCCCAACCGTGAAGCACGGAGGTGGAAACATCATTCTTTGGGGATGCTTTTCTGCAAAGGGGACAGGACGACTGCACCGTATTGAGGGGAGGATGGATGGGGCCATGTATCGCGAGATCTTGGCCAACAACCTCCTTCCCTCAGTAAGAGCATTGAAGATGGGTCGTGGCTGGGTCTTCCAGCATGACAACGACCCGAAACACACAGCCAGGGCAACTAAGGAGTGGCTCTGTAAGAAACATCTCAAGGTCCTGGAGTGGCCTAGCCAGTCTCCAGACCTAAACCCAATAGAAAAATCTTTGGAGGGAGCTGAAAGTCCGTATTGCCCAGCGACAGCCCCGAAACCTGAAGGATCTGGAGAAGGTATGTATGGAGGAGTGGGCCAAAATCCCTGCTGCAGTGTGTGCAAACCTGGTCAAGACCTACAGGAAATGTATGATCTCTGTAATTGCACACAAAGGTTTCTGTACCAAATATTAAGTTCTGCTTTTCTGATGTATCAAAATACTTATGTCATGCAATAAAATGCAAATTAATTACTTAAAAATCATACAATGTGATTTTCTGGATTTTTGTTTTAGATTCCGTCTCTCACAGTTGAAGTGTACCTATGATAAAAATTACAGACCTCTACATGCTTTGTAAGTAGGAAAACCTGCAAAATCGGCAGTGTATCAAATACTTGTTCTCCCCACTGTATATATACACTGCTCAAAAAAATAAAGGGAACACTTAAACAACACAATGTAACTCCAAGTCAATCACACTTCTGTGAAATCAAACTGTCCACTTAGGAAGCAACACTGATTGACAATAAATTTCACATGCTGTTGTGCAAATGGAATAGACAACAGGTGGAAATTATAGGCAATTAGCAAGACACCCCCAATAAAGAAGTGGTTCTGCAGGTGGTGACCACAGACCACTTCTCAGTTCCTATGCTTCCTGGCTGATGTTTTGGTCACTTTTGAATGCTGGCGGTGCTTTCACTCTAGTGGTAGCATGAGACGGAGTCTACAACCCACACAAGTGGCTCAGGTAGTGCAGCTCATCCAGGATGGCACATCAATGCTTGCTGTGGCAAGAAGGTTTGCTTTGTCTGTCAGCGTAGTGTCCAGAGCATGGAGGCGCTACCAGGAGACAGGCCAGTACATCAGGAGACGTGGAGGAGGCTGTAGGAGGGCAACAACCCAGCAGCAGGACCGCTACCTCTGCCTTTGTGCAAGGAGGAGCAGGAGGAGCACTGCCAGAGCCCTGCAAAATGACCTCCAGCAGGCCACAAATGTGCATGTGTCTGCTCAAACGGTCAGAAACAGACTCCATGAGGGTGGTATGAGGGCCCGACGTCCACAGGAGGGGGTTGTGCTTACAGCCCAACACCGTGCAGGACGTTTGGCATTTGCCAGAGAACACCAAGATTGGCAAATTCGCCACTGGCGCCCTGTGCTCACAGATGAAAGCAGGTTCACACTGAGCACATGTGACAGACGTGACAGAGTCTGGAGACGCCTTGGAGAACGTTCTGCTGCCTGCAACATCCTCCAGCATGACCGGTTTGGCGGTGGGTCAGTCATGGTGTGGGGTGGCATTTCTTTGGGGGGCCGCACAGCCCTCCATGTGCTCGCCAGAGGTAGCCTGACTGCCATTAGGTACCGAGATGAGATCCTCAGACCCCTTGTGAGACCATATGCTGGTGCGGTTGGCCCTGGGTTCCTCCTAATGCAAGACAATGCTAGACCTCATGTGGCTGGAGTGTGTCAGCAGTTCCTGCAAGAGGAAGGCATTGATGCTATGGACTGGCCCGCCCGTTCCCCAGACCTGAATCCAATTGAGCACATCTGGGACATCATGTCTCGCTCCATCCACCAACGCCACGTTGCACCACAGACTGTCCAGGAGTTGGCGGATGCTTTAGTCCAGGTCTGGGAGGAGATCCCTCAGGAGACCATCGGCCACCTCATCAGGAGCATGCCCAGGCGTTGTAGGGAGGTCATACAGGCACGTGGAGGCCACACACACTACTGAGCCTCATTTTGACTTGTTTTAAGGACATTACATCAAAGTTGGATCAGCCTGTAGTGTGGTTTTCCACTTTAATTTTGAGGGTGACTCCAAATCCAGACCTCCATGGGTTGATACATTTGATTTCCATTGATAGTTTTTGTGTGATTTTGTTGTCAGCACATTCAACTATGTAAAGGAAAAAGTATTTAAAAATATTATTTCATTCATTCAGATCTAGGATGTGTTGTTTAAGTGTTCCCTTTATTTTTTTGAGCAGTGTATATAAATATATATATATATATATATATATATATATATATATATATATACAGTACCAGTCAAAAGTTTGGACACACCTACTCATTCAAGGGTTTTTCTTTATTTTTACTATTTTCTACATTGTAGAATAATAGTGAAGACATCAAAACTATGAAATAACACATATGGAATCATGTAGTAACCAAAAAAGTGTTAAACAAATCAAAAAATATTTTATATTTGAGATTCTTCAAATAGCCACCCTTTGCCTTGATGACAGCTTTGCACACTCTTGGCATTCTCTCAACCAGCTTCACCTGGAATGCTTTTCCAACAGTTTTGAAGGAGTTCCCACATATGCTGAGCACTTGTTGGCTGCTTTTCCTTCACTCTGCCGTCCAACTCATCCCAAACCATCTCAACTGGGTTGATGTCGGGGATTGTGAAGGCCAGGTCATCTGATGCAGCATTCCATCACTCTCCTTCTTGGTAAAATAGCCCTTACACAGCCTGGAAGTGTGTTGGGTTATTGTCCTGTTGAAAAACAAATTATATTCCCACTAAGCCCAAACCAGATGGGATGGCGTGTCGCTGCAGAATTCTGTGGTACCCATGCTGGTTAAGTGTGCCTTGAATTCTAAATTAATCACAGACAGTGTCACCAACAAAGCACCCCCACACCATCACCTCCTCCTCCATGCTTTACGGTGGGAACTACACATGCGGCAATCATCCGTTCACCCACACCGCATCTTACAAAGACATGGCGGTTGGAACCAAAAATCTCATTTTTGGTCTCCAGACCAAAGGACAGATTATTCTACAATGTAGAAAATAGTAAAAAATAAAGAAAAACCCTTGAATGAGTAGGTGTGTCCAAACTTTTGACTTGTACTGTATATATGTACAGTGCATTCGGAAAGTATATTGACCCCTTGACTTTTTCCACGTTTTGTTACGTTACAGCCTTATTCTAATGGATTACATTGGGTTTTTTTTCCTTCATCAATCTACACACAATACCCCATAATGACAAAGTGAAAACAGGTTTTTAGAAATCTTTGAAAATTTATAAAACATTTAAAACAAATACCTTATTTACATAATTATTCAGACCCTTTGAAATTGAGCTCAGGTTCATCCTGTTTCCATTGATCATCCTTGAGATGTCTCTACAAGTTGATTGGAGTCCACCTGTGGTAAATGTAATTGATTGGACAAGATTTGGAAAGGTACACACCTGTCTATATAAGGTCCCACAGTTGACAGTGCATGTCAGAGCAAAAACCAAGCAATGAGGTCGAAGGAATTGTCCGTAGAGCTCTGAGACAGGATTGTGTCTAGGCACAGATCTGGGGAAGGGTAGCAAGAAATGTCTGCAGCATTGAAGGTCCCCAAGAACACAGTGGCCTCCATCATTCTTAAATGAAAGAAGTTTGGAACCACCAAGACTCTTCCTAGAGCTGGCCGCCCGGCCAAACTGAGCAATCGGGGAAGAAGGGCCTTGGTCAGGGAGGTGACCAAGAACCCGATGGTCACTCTGACAGAGCTCCAGAGTTCCTCTGTGGAGATGGGAGAACCTTCCAGAAGGACAACCATCTCTGCAGCACTCCACCAATCAGGCCTTTATGGTAGAGTGGCCAGACGGAAGCCACTCCTCAGTAAAAGGCACAGGACAGCTCGCTTGGAGTTTGCCAAAAGTCACCTAAAGGACTCTCAGACCATGAGAAACAAGATTCTCGGGTCTGATGAAACCAAGATTGAACTCTTTGGCCTGAATGCCAAGCGTCACGTCAGGAGGAAACCTGGCACCATCCCTACGGTGAAGCATGGTGGTGGCAGCATCATGTTGTGGGGATGTTTTTCAGCGGCAGGGACTGGGAGACTAGTCAGGATCGAGGGAAAGATGAACGAAGCAAAGTACAGAGATCCTTGATGAAAACCTGCACCAGAGCGCTCAGGACCAGCGACGCTCCTCATCCAAACTGAGAGAGCTTGAGAGGATCTGCAGAGAAGAATGGGAGAAACTCCCCAAATACAGGTGTGCCAAGCTTATAGCGTCATACCCAAGAAGGCTGTAATTGCTGCCAAAGGTGCTTCAACAAAGTACTGAGTAAGGGGTCTGAATACTTATGTAAATGTTTTTCAGTTTTGTTATTGATACATTTGCAAACTATTTTTGCTTTGTCATTATGGGGTATTTTGTGCAGATTGATGTGGAAAAAAACATTTTAATTCAACTTTATTTTGTTATCATTTAAGGCCAGGCACCACACCCTAATATATTATTATTTGCTCTAGATTGCAGGGAATGGCAGTTACAGGTGTTCAAAAACGAGTCCAAAGGGGGTCACTCTTCCTGAGGAGAACCCTGGTGTGTGTGTGTCATCATTCAAGGACAGGTCTGAAAGTATGAGAGTTGCAGTAGTGCTCTGTGTGTGTGTTTTACATGTAAGTCCTAAGATTATAAACATAGGCATATAGCAGAGGAGGCTGGCGGGATGAGCTATAGGAGGACAGGCTCATTGTAATGGCTGGAATGGAATGATTGGAATGGTACCAAACACATCAAGCACATTGAAACAACATGTTTGACTCCGTTCCATTGACTCCATTCCAGCCATTATGATGAGCCTGTCCTCCTTTAGCTCCTCCCACAAGCCTTATCTGGCCAATAGGAGAACTATATAGAGCCCTGGTGCTGTATGTATTTCTCATACAGCAAATGTTTGAAGGTATTGTTCCCATTCGAGAGCGGGCGAGAATTAGTAAAGAGCAAGGACACAAGACGTTATTGTTTTGGGAAAGAATGACAGGAGTCTCTCATGTAGCATCCCACTCTGTCTCAGCTGAGGCCTCAATCCAACAGCCCCACGCCCCAGAGGCTCCAGGGGTTGATGCGTGTATCACACAAATATGTCTGTCAGAGCAAACTCCTGACCATGGAGAGAAGAGAGAGAGAGAAGGAGAGAGTGAGACAATGTGTGATTGTCAGTCCTTGCCCTTTATGCTCACAGCAAAGACGGATGGATGGTTGATTGACAGAGCGCTTCAGGAGAAGAGGCCCACTCACAAAGCAGTGTGTAGGTAGCAGGCGGGAACAGGAGAGGGGCCCTCTCCTTAGAGTTCACAAACAGGGTCAGCATTGTCCCACAACTTCACCCTCACCCCCCCCACACACACGGTGACAGAGTTCCACAACTCAAGGCCTCACACACAAACACAGAGGCTCCATTGTGACAGGGGAAACAGCTAGGCCTAATCCAGAAATCTGACTAATTACAGAGTACCAGAGAGAGAGAGAGAGAGTTCCAGAGAGAGAGAGAGAGAGTTCCAGAGAGAGTTCCAGAGAGAGAGAGAGAGAGAGAGAGAGAGAGAGAGAGAGAGAGAGAGAGAGGTTTTTATCTCCACAACAAGACTTTCGTGAAGGATCTGAACTACATCATAACAGTATTGCCCAAACTGTAGGTCAAATGAGAGGATCTGTTCATTGCCATTAGGCCAGGACCATCTTTTTTCCTCGCTGCCCTGTCTGACCCTAGCCTGCCAATGCGAGACACACCTGCTATGACCAGCTGTCTGTGGGTGTGTTAAGCAACGTTTTTTTTTTCTACTCTCTCCCTAATGCGTTCTGTTCGTGTGTGTTATTAAAGGGCCCTTACCTTTGTTAGGTGTTCCATTGAGGCACCTCAACCCTCCTTATTTAGTCTTCTGTGTGTTAACCATGCAAGCTAACCATGCAGTTTTGTGTTGATTTGTTTTGCAGACAAATATGCAGAGTTTGACCTGAATGACCAGGGAGAGATTGGTGAGTAGTGGAAACGGCAAGCAGCCAGGTGCTCAACAGTGATATCCAACTACAGTGCTTTGTGTGTGTAATCACTGAGCAGTAGTCAAGACCTCCGTGTGTTGTGGGTATGGGATGAACCAGAGGTCAATGAGGGCTTCATGTGTCGCTATTGTGTCTCACTAGAAAGGTGATACTGTATTTGGCCTACTGGCCTTGAAAACAGGTGTCAGATAAGCGTGCGTTTGGCTGCTTGTGTGAGTGTGTTTGCCAGGTGTTGTGTGTGTGTGTGTGTGTGTGTTGTGTGTGTGTGTTAACCATTCTCCTCCTGTGTGGGTGTCTCCCTGCAGATATGATGGGGATGAAGCGGATGATGGAGAAGCTGGGTGTTCCTAAGACCCACCTGGAGATGAAGAAGATGATCTCCGAGGTGACCGAAGGCAACAGCGACAGCATCAACTACAGAGACTTCGTCAAGATGATGCTGGGCAAGCGCTCGGCCGTCCTCAAACTGTGAGTGGGTGTGTGCTGTGTGTCTTGGGGGAGGTATTGGGTTGGGGTGTGTGTGTTTGCGGCACCTGTCGCCGACATATGTGCATTGTGCTGCGTCATGTTTCATTGGCATCTGTTTATTTTCTTCATCTTTGTGGGTGTGTGACTGACCAGTTCATCCTCTGCTGTGTCAGCCAGTTGTTATCTTTCAGCAGAGGTCTGGGATGACAGGTGATGACATCGTCACTAGCCACATGGCACCAGCGTTTATCGCCATGGTATTCATGGTGGGAGGAGCATAAGACAGACATCCCTGAGTACAGTCCAAGACTCTGCCCTGTCCAGAACCACCATTCATCTAAGGGTAACACTGTCAAGGGAAACATCTCTGAGTTGAGACAGGAATGGACCTTCGAAAGCCAGTCACCAGGTGTTTTGGACAGGGTTACTTGTGTAAGCAGGGCCTAAAATTACACCCGCCACCTGCCAAATGCGGGTAGATTTTTGGCATTGGTTGGTAAGATGTCTATTTAACCAGCCACGTTGGCGGGTGGTCAGGGCTCCACAATGCGAGCATTTCACTCGCATTTGTGAATAGAAATAGTCAAGTGTAATCCCGTTTATAGTAAAATAAATGCTGCAGTAGCTGTTTTCAATGTATTTCCGCCGTTTTGTTTCATAGCTGGTATATTAATCGCACAAAGTCAAAGACCTACGAATCCGATATAGCCTATTCCACCTCGCGCTGCAACACTGCCTGGGCGGGGGCTGTGCGCACGTGAAGAGCTGAGTGAAAGATTCATTTTTAGAAGCGCTGGGCACAGGTATAAAAGTTGGTCTAATTTACTTGAAACGAAAGTCTATAATATAATAATATAATATGCCATTTAGCAGAGTACTGAAGTGAGACTTTGTCCTTGTGTTTCTTGGCTATTTATATTGTTTTGTTCACAAGCCAGGTTGTGTTTCTATGTTTGAGTTTCAACTGCTAGGGAAGAGAAGAAGACACTTCTACTAGTCAGACTCAATCTCACAGGCACAAACATGACTCGAATCGCGCTACCATGGTAACCTCCTGCCCTTCAAGGGGCAGGTGAAAATATTTGTCTCATCTGTGATATTTTGGTCACAAAAATGTAATTGTTCGATATACCACATCAGTTACTTCTTACTAGTAATACCTTTATTGTTTTAGAAACATTACAAAGCATGCTCAACTGTTTTCTTTTGTGTTTTGTTGGTGTGATTTTAGCAGTAAACAAGTGGCTGGCAGATATCTGCAGGTCTAGTCAGTGTGTGTTTGCTATTGCATGTCAGCTCTAACTGGACTAAACTGGCCAGGCAGATCCTTAGCCAGACAAGTCTCCTCATAATCCCAAATACACTCATCATCAGCCGGAAACACAATTTTTCTCCACTGCTCCTTCCACTCTTTCTTTGTTAATCTCTCACTCTCACTCCCAATCTTTCTCTCTCCCTCGCTCTCTCGCTCTCTCCATCCTTCATCAGTAGAGGTGGTGACCCTAGCAAGAGAAAATGAAAGAGGCCTTTTCTCATTTGGGAAAAAGTCTGTCCTCTACCCTCTCTCCTCCGTCCTTTCTCCTCTGTGACCCGGAAACCGTTAAGTGGTCGAGTGGTCGAGGAGATGTCAATTCGTTAGAAGGCGAACGGAAGAGTGTCCTCCCCTCCTCAATAGCCACCTTACATCGAGGATAGTCATGTGTATCCTACCTGAGTCCTTCCCAGAAGAGTTTTGGACTCTGCCACACCCCCTTTGAATCAGCTTTTGTTTTGTCAGAGAAGAAAAACATGCACACGTTTAAAAACAATATGCTACTTATCGTTTTATCTATAAAATGTATTTCACAACTAACTTAATTTGTTTTTATCACTTTACACATTTATTTTGGGATGCACCCCTGTAAATGTAATTTGCCTGATGATGCTTGTATGGAGGAGTCTCATTTGATACAAGCCCATTTTCGTCCACGTTCCCTCTCCCTGCCGCCTCTACTTTTTCAAAAGGAGGCGAGGGAGGATACAGGAGTTGAGCAAACCAATTGACAAAAGGCCAGAGTAAATGTTGCTACCTTTTATTCTCTGTCTGAGTGATTTGAGACCCCTTTCAAAAACCTTTCTCCCATTCCAGCCTTTTAATGTGTGCATCTGATTGGACGTCCTCCAAGTTGGCCACAGCGATCTACAACGGCTCTCTTGTTGTATTATATTATGCTGTTTCTCTCCTGGGACAGAGAGAGAGGGGGAGTTGGAGAGAGAGAATGAGAGTTGGAGAGAGAGAGTGATGGGTTTGAGGACAGAAAACAGGAGCTATTATATAGTTAGTAAACTGTTATTCAGAGTTTCTTGGCAGAGGAACAATTGGTTTTGTTGTAATTACAGGGAAATAATTTGAGTCGGGCACTACTAACGGCCAGAGTGGTTCTGGGGCCAAGTCCAGGCATTTTGTTTCCTGGGTTGGCCATTTGAGTGCCAGAGTAGACTAAACACACATTTGGCTTCACGCACACATGCCAGGGATTCCGCCAGACATTTGACCGGCAACATTTGTATTTACCGGACATTTGAGAAATGTACTGGACCCATATGCATTGGGTGCGTAACCTGAATAGGGCATCCACTCACGGTGCTCAGAATGACGGAAATCACATTTAAAATATGGTAATTCATATTAACAGAACATGCAAGTCGAGGATGCAACGATGTGCGGTCCTTCTTACTGAATTCTGATGTGCACTTTGAACATGTTAGAATAACTGTCCACATTTACTTTTCTTCAGCCAACGAACAGCAAAATCACTAGCCTATGTCAATCTACTATAGTAGAAAAGTTTAGGCTACCTATTCTATTGATCAGCTTGTTGAGAAAGAAATGGCCTATTCCAAGCAGACTCTGGGACAGTTGTGGGACGATTGATCCCAAATTCATACAACCAGTAGGCCTAGGTAACATAACAATACAAAATTAAGTACAAAAGCAATGAATCTGATGCAACAGATCAGAACGTTTAGCTTAAAATGTTGATTAACTATTATTTCTTCACATTATAAGCACAGCAATGTGCACAAGGCAGTAGACTATGTGCGAATGTTCGTTCCATAACGCAGTTAGCGTGAACACACCATTGTCAAAAGGGCACAGCACATGCGAGTGGTTTCATGTGACAGAGAAGAAAATAACCGTTAGAAATGTTGAAAGAGAGGTGATCTAATAGGCTATTTTGAAGCAAGGTAAAACATGCCTCATAATATGTATTACAGTTTTTTCCCATTGCTAACACACTAAAATGACATGCACAGCACAATTATTTAAACTGACACACAGAGAGCAAAACCTCTTCTCAAGTCTCCAAAAGTTTTTTTGCAATTCAAAATGGCACTTTTTAAATGCACTGCACACGGTTCTCTGCATAAGACACAACAATCTGACATAAAGTCACATGTTTGCCATTTCAAAACACTGCCATTCAAAATGACACTACATGAGCTAATTGGCCAATACATGTGCCACCTGGCCAAACACCTCAATGGTTAATTGTTACCACTTCAATCAGGAAGTAAGCACTATGAAAAGACCACAGGTGAGCACCTTTTGTTTTACAACAACAATGGAAGACGTTGCAGAAAGAGGAAGAGGAAGAGGGAGGGTGAGAATGAGGGGGGGAGGAAGAGTGAGAGTTAGGGGTAGAGCTGGTAGAGGAGTTCATGGCCAAAGAAGACAACAAATTTCAAATGAAATCAGAGCAACCTTAGTTGATCATGTCATCAACCATGGGCTGACAATGCGAGAGGCTGGACAGAGAGTGCAGCCCAACTTGAGCCGTTTTACTGTCGCCTGTGTCATCCGGACATTTAGACTGGAGTACAGGTATGTAACCAACATTTATTTCACACGATGTAGTACACCCCATGTCATAGTGTATCAGTTGGGTGACACCTGTTTACTTCATGAATGGCTGATGTCATACACTAACTGTACAAGTTTCATGTACAATGTACTCTACTGTGGGGGAAATATCTTTAGGCTGCATTGTCCAAGCCCTATATTTATGTTTTTTTGTTTTTCTAAAGGACTGGGAGACGCAACCATGGTGGAGGAAGGGGCCAAATGTTCACCGGGGTTCAGGAAGCTGCCATTGTAAACTTGGTTTTGGAAAATAATGAAATCAGATTACGAGAAATTCAAAGCCACATCATCCAAGACAACACCATATTCAACAACATTCAACAAGTCAGTCTGTCCACATTGGCTCGCATTCTCAAGCGAAACCAAATCAGAATGAAACAACTTTATAAGGTGCTGTTTGAGAGAAACTCTCAAAGAAACAAAGAGGTCAGACGAGCATATGTGGATGTAAGTACAATATTGACTGCAGTACACTACACGCAACATTGTTTCCCAGTGTACTGGATAACACCATATTGACTGCTTTTGTTCTTTGTTTTCAGGGAGTACTGGAAATGGATGCTCATGCAATCCCACATGAGTTCAGATTTTATAGATGAGGCTGGGTTCAACCTTGCAAAGACCAGAAGAAGGGAGAGAAACGTCATTGGCCATAGAGCCATTATAGATGTTCCTGGCCAACGTGGTGGGAACATCACAATGTGCGCTGCCATCTCCAATACGCATGGTGTCCTCCACCGTCATGCCAACCTTGGACCATACAACACAGCCCATATTCTCACATTTCTGGACATTCTCATACCACCAGAGCGTATGAATGATGCAGACCATCAAAGAACCCGGTATGTTGTAGTATGGGACAACGTGAGCTTTCATCGTGCAGCCCCAGTCCAAAACTGGTTTGCTGACCACCCACCATTTCTCGTGCAATACCTCCCACCATACTCACCATTTCTGAACCCCATAGAAGAGTTATTTTCGGCATTGCGGTGGAAGGTATACGACCGGCAGCCCTTTGTGCGCATGCCTCTAGTGCAGGCTATGGAAGAGGCATGTGATGAGATTGATGTGGGTGCGATTCAGGGATGCATAAGGCACTC